GGAATGGACAATGTTCCAGACCCAAACCTGATCGAAGGCTACGGTGGAAGATTTGGCTCGGTAGAGGATCCAAGTATACCACTGAAACAAGGATATTACCACCGTTACGAGAGATGGGACCAAGCTGGAGCTATGGGATCCGACGTAAGAGCTTCGTGTTTTTGTTTTGTTAGTGTGTTGTTGCTTGTTGTTGTTGTTTTTTTTTGTTTTTTTTTAATATTGTTACTTGTCTTTTTTTTTCCCCTTTAAAGTTATCAAAAAGTCATGTAGATATTTGGTGGAATGCTTTTTCTCGGGAGTTTTTGATTCTTGGGTTGATCTGTGTATTTAACGGGATACTGATACTTGTGAGTAGGTTACGATATTTTGTGCTAGGTTTGATATCGATGTTTATGTCAGCATCGATACTTGGGTGGACGTTGATAGGTGTATAAATATTGATATTTTGGGTAAACAATAATACTTTGTTGAATATTTTTGTGTTCGTTGATTCATGGGGGATGTCAATATTTGGGGGACGTTAATTTATGGGTGGGGGATGTTAATATATTGGGGACCTTGATTCAAGGGGGCTGTTATTATTTGGTGAACGTTGATTTATTTGGGGGGGGGGGGGGGATTTTAATATTTGGAGGACGTTGATTGATTAATATGGAAATTAAGGAATGTTTGTGCGTTTTCAATGAAGCAGCCACATGAACAGCTTCGTGAGGTGGACATTAATAGGCTTACAGAGAATCAACATCTCCTCTAGATAGTGTAAAAATTGGATATTGTCATATTCAAGATGGAAACGTCCGCGGAAAGGCTAAGAACGAGAGCGATAATAGCCTCCAGATTGCTAACACAGTTATGCTCTAGCGAGCGTACTTGCACATGGTGAGGATGGAAGAAAGGCTTGCTAACCCTGTCCCATCGTGGGCTCGGTCTCCGGCCTTTCATTTAATATGCGAAATCCATTGTTTTGGCTCGGAGGCGCGGTGGCTGAACGGTAAACCGGAGGTTCCGGGTTCGAATCCTGGTGAACACTGGTCTTTTTAATCTCGGGATCTTTGGGCGCCTCTGAGTCCATCCAGCTCTAATTGGTACCTGGCATTAATTGGGGGCAGGTAAATACGGTTGGTCGTTGTGCTGGCCACATAACACCTTCGTTAACTGTATGCCACAGAAACAAATGACCTAAACATCATCTGCCCTATAGACCACAAGGTCTGAAAAGTGAACCTTACTTTATAGTATTGGCTAAAAGGACCTTGACCCATGAGCAAACGGACGTGATTAAATGATCATCTAATTGATGGAGGCCTTCAAACGGGTCGGTGAAGAGCCAAACCTACATTCTTGCCACGGGATAAAATCCTTTCCTGAGGCAAAGGTTCATAAACGGACTTATCTCGAACATTTTCGGACACTTCGAAGAAGAGGCCCCTCTGGATCTCAATGATCAAAAGCTTTGTTTTATTGAATTGACTTCATAGGCTAGATCGACTTGTTAGTATACGGGATAAGACTCAATCAATTCCCTCATTCTCATGTACAATTACCAGCACATAATATACAACTAGAAGGAAATGAGAAGGCTGACACGCTCGCCAAGAGTGGGAGAACTAACTCACAAATAAACTCTGCACTATATCCAGAAGAATTGAAGAAATTAATTGTAACTAAAATAAATGAGAAATGGACGAGCTCCCATCCAAATCACAAGAAAGATGACGCTTATTATAAGCTATCCCGACAAGATCAACGTCTAATCTTTCGACTCAGGACCGGTCACAACAGAGTGCGACAACACATGTTCCGGAAGCTCAAAATTGGAACCAGTGAAATCTGCCCATGTGGAGTATCACCAGAGAATGCCGACCACGTCTTCCAAAACTGCTCTCTTTACCAAGAGCCCGTATAAGACACTGGCCCCAAAACACCCCAATAGAAAGAAAACTATATGGAGAGCTCACTGATTTGGAAACCACGACGCAGTTCATAGGTCATCTCATGTATTGGTCTAGTCATCTGAACGCTCCAACATAACAATGAGAAAGAAGAAGAAGAAATGTACAATTAATATGTTCAAATGTACATGCCCCCCTTTCCAATACTAATCTTTTTCGCTATATTTTCCCTCTAGTTGGCCCACAGAGGATTCTCAGACCAGTACATGTTCGTGGCCATCAACACCCAGAATAGGATCGTCCCCATGGCCATGGAGGATTGTAAGAAGGGAGTGTGCACCAAGTACAGCAGCAGGGTCTCCTACGCCATCCCCATGGAGATTGTCTACCTGACACCCCTACTGTCTTGGAACCCTTACAGTATCGCCTACAATGACGTATGTATGCTTCCACCACTAGTTAATGTTAAATATATATAATGAAAACCACGTCCACCGTTCATGGCTCTAGTAAGCTGTATGTGCTTATTGGAGTATTCCTTGTCCGTGAGATGTTCAAATTTAACTTCACACAATATAGCCTGGTTGATTGAAGGACTTACTCTTCGGTTATTTCACTTCAGGATCCAACAAAGACCACCGCTGGAGGTCGAGACGGCAACACCGAAGAGACAGCTTACGACGGTGTTGACTTCAATCACTATTACAGGACACCTTCCAAATTTTTCAGCGGGCCTGTCTTAGAGCCAGACGACGCCGACACACCCAAAGCAGTTGTCAAAGTGAAGAATATTCAGGTAAGGCTAACTAGGCCAACTAAGTGGTTTAACAAGTGAAATGTAAAAGTACTTTAAAAAAGCTCATGTAAACGAAAGAACTCCGTGTTTTTGCTAGGTACAATACACAATAACTTAAAGTTTTAACATGATTTGAGAATGGGTATGTGAGAAAGAAAGTGTACAATTATCTAAGGGGACAAAACCCTACATATTTATCTGCAAATATTGAAGGGTAAATTTCCCTTGTTGGTATCAATAAAGTAATTGATTACCTGTAATTAATTGACTAATTGGTTATTTCTTTTTTTTTTTAATTATTTATGTCTATCCCGATGAATAATTGTGCAAAGTTTCAACTTGATCCGAGACTGGATGTTGGAGAAATAAAGTGTACAAACTTTGTACCACAAAAACACTTTCTACTTTTATTACTATTAGTCCAAGGATTTTAAGGACCCCTATGGGTCTTTTCCAAAATCTAGAATCTTCTTTTTCCCATATTTTTCTAAACTACATGACAAAGGCGATCTTGCTAGCGAGCTTAAAGGGGTCAGTGTGACAAATGTGCCTCCGTAAGCGCTGTAAAGAATAACTTAACGCCATTTCGCCCTCACTGGCATATAGGAAAGTAGATAGCAGCAGATGGCATTTGAAATAGACAGTTGGAAAGCTCTCACGAAGGCGTCACTGTCTGTCCCTTTTAGATCTCGTAAACTAGAAAAGATAGTGAAAATGCGACATCACAATATTTTAGACAATTCAAAGTTCTGTTGCAATGGCTACTTTTTTCTTTTATGAAAATTCTATTTTTTTAAATCACTTATGCAAGCAGTTTTTTCATAAAAATACACCACTTTTACAAATGTTCATTATTAATAGTAACAAACACGTGAGGCTCTTTATTAGGGGAGACGACTATTTATCATATTTTTAACACATTTATACAAACGGTTGCAGATTTTTTGGCAAGAAGTTATTCTTTTTTTATATTTGTATTCTTAAGTTATGTTAGTCATGTTATACTAAGTACTATATTTACACACAAAAAATATGTTTATTATTTTTTTAAAGAGAAAAAATCTATTTAGTATGCATATAAGTCAGACATAATTGAAAACCACAATTAATAAGTAGTTTTTCATATTATCGTGTGAACTACATGCTCACATGTGAGGCAGACTCGGCTTTTTACAAAACAATTAGATCAATTAAAGATATTCATTATAACACATCAATTAGGCCAGGTTCACATCTAACTTCACATTCACTTTCACCTATCCTTTGTACTGCTGGACCGCTGGGGCACCACACGAGATCTGTTAACCTTTTTTTCTCCATTATTTTCTGTCATTTGTCTTTATAGAATTTCATTCTGATAATATTGAAACCTGCCATTTTACCTGCCTGGGTGGACCACTTCTGGGGCCGATTTTCAGTTTGTGTTTCCACACAAACTGTCATTGTAACCTTGTTTTTAAAGACTCTCTTTACTTGTAATTGTAAACGAACTGATGGTTAATTAGACATTTTCATCTTTGGCGGAAAGCAGTGTTAGCCTAATGTTTCGTACAGTTATTTGATTACTTTTGTGGCCTTATTAACACTGCAGAATCAAATTGTCTAAGCTTTTCCGTTTTAGCTCAGTTTTCTTGTATAGAATTGGGAACTTCATTTATCGTCATGTATCGTAAACATTCCCAATAGATCAGTGGCGAAGCTAGGGTGGGGTCCACGTTTGAAAATCCCCATCGGGCCCCCACTTGAGGGGTCCCCCAAATGAGTGTCCGAAATTTCTTTTTACATTAAATATTACGTCATTATCTCATGTCATGATGTCGAATGTCAAAAAGCAGGGGCCCCTAACCCTAAAGAGGTCAAGCCTCCCCCCCCCCCCCCCCCGAGGCCCCCAGATCCCTATCTACGCCACTGGACTAGATGTTCATTGATGACATGTACACCGTTTATTTCTCAGGGCCAAGTTGTCAACGTCACGGCCAGCGGCACGACGTTCATGCTGAGACAAATCGACGGGAGCGAGCAGATGCGCCTCAGGTACCCGATCCACCCGATCCACGGAGAGGGCAGCTCCAACTGGAAGGATCTGAGCGCCATGTGGGCCGTGGAGCAAAAGTATAGGCCCTACCCGTGAGTCCGTCAATGAAACACCAAACCATTGATCGCGCACACTGGAGCAGATTTTTTTACTGAGCTCGAAATTACAGTCCATTTTTCAAGTGTACGCTTACTCAATAGTTAGTAGTTCTTGTATTGCACAACATGAGACAGATAGATAGATAGATAGATGAGATAGATAGATAGATGAGATAGATAGATAGATGAGATAGATAGATAGACAGACAGATAGATAGATGAGATTATATTTCTCTTCCACGTTAGTCTCTCGATCACAAACAAACAGAATGGCGTGTATAAAGCAAGCATTAGTACAAACTACAAAGCAAAATTTTACCAAGCATTTTTTAAAGTTAATACAAGGGAAAAAACTGCTCAATTACTGCCATATCGTTCAATAATGTAATATTTATCTCCCTTTTTCTTTTTAAAACAAAACTAATTTATTAATTACCACTAATAAATTATCTAATTGGTTGTTGTTTTTTTTAAGTCGTTCTTGTGTGTTGTCATGGACAAAGTGCAAACGTTTCAACTTAATGCCGAGAATGGGAATTGGGAGTAAAGAACTTGTTAAAAAAAAAAAAAAAAGTAAACCCACCCAGACTGAATAAAAAAGGAGTGAGTTAATATGATAATATTGAGTTAGACATTTTAACATCGTGTGTGTTGAACCTCTATACAAAGTGGACTGTATATCTCTCTACTTATTTTCAAGTGAATGCGCGTTTTGAAGGGGGTAATAGTGGTAATTCATTTAGTGTATATATCTATGTTTATTTTTGTAATGTTAAGGATGTCGTTAAAAGATTGTGGGTTATCAAATAGCCGGAACTCCGGACATGGAGGCTTAAGAGGCTGACACATCACAGTATTCATACTATATACACAGGCCTATTTACATGTGGTTAGCCACAAGGATCTTGTTTCTCAAATGATGTACAGTTGTTGTTTTTTTTTTTTCCACATTCCACAGGATTTTAATGTACATGTATTGTTAAATGATTTGACAATGACTACGTATTTATGTATAAATTAGGCGAGTGTACGGAGGGGGGAGTTGTGCTCGACCTAATCTAGCATTACATTGACTGCTCAAATGTTTTATAGATAAGTTAATGTGAAAAAAATGTTTTCTTAAAACAAATTGGTATAGAACTGTGTAAATCAGACATTAAATAAGTCTATCAACACTGTGATTTTGCAAACAAAAATAACGCAATGCATCACGTATGCTTTTTTGTAATGCACAATTGTAAAACGAATTTCCTCACGGATAAATAAGATTAATATATATATATATATATCGTTAAAATATAACTAACCCAACCTAACCAAACGGTTCATTAAACTAAAAAGGTGAAGGTAGTAATTTGTTTTCAACCTTCCTAGACTATTCATGAGTGATACTGCAACAGAATGGTTCCATATGACAGCCTCATTTAGGAGTCTTTTGTAGTTTCAAAGACTTGAGTTACCTGCATGTCCAGTGCATGTTCAATACATTGATGCCATTGAATCAATTTACACTATTTGCACATTTTTTGTTACTTGAAGAATGTATTGTAGCCTACTAGAAGGTTATTTGTTAATGCACATTGTTTCAATAAACATTTTCTTCACACGACAAATTCTCAAACTGTATCTTCATCTATCTTTGTTAATGTCTATAAGTTATATGTCTATCTGATATTAATTTTTTATAGAGTCTAGCCTTCCCCGTGCGCTCTTGATCAATCTCTATTGTGGACCTGTCAATGAAGGAGGTACCAGGGGTCAAGGTTACCGATTTGTCTCAGCAAACACAACTCATCTCGAATCGGGTTTTGAACTCGGGCCCCCTTGATGTAGCCAAGCGGTTTAAGCCTCTCCGAACAAATGTTAACGATAAAGTGTGAAATTAGCTTTTTTTTTTTTTTTGTTTTGGTCGTTGACTAGGTCTCATTGCGAGACTTCCTACTTGAATGTGACACAACGTTTGGACCACGTGACACAAACAAGAAAAACATTTTTAAAAAAGGGTTAGACGAACTGTAATTGTATTAATTAGTTTGGGGGGGGGGGGCGGGGCGGGAGAAAGAAAGGGATAACTGGGTGAATTTTCACCGTATTCGCTTTTTAAAAGCATTTATTTAAAAAAAAAGGGGGGGGGCGGCCTGAACTAGAACTCATGGAACGAACTGACCACTCTGCTAGTGAGGTCTCTATGAAAATAGAAGATTTTATAGATATCTATTGTTTGTTACAAACTTATTTTAAAGAGGCGACCCATAAAAGGGGACTGATTCAGCTTATACCACCACTTCAGTCAAGTACAATTTCTTTCCCTTGTTCGATATACCAAACAAAATAACCAATAGTTAATTAATTAATTGGTTAATTTCTTTTTATTATTGATCCTGTGTTGTCCGGTAAAAGAAACGATAGTGGGAAATTTCAGCTTGACCCGAGATTTAGGCCCTACTGACCTTTTCTCCAGACAGACAGAGTCAGTGAATACAAGCTTCGTAAAAAAAAAAATCACAAAAACATTCAGGTTGTTTAAAAAAAAAAATACATGATACATTTATTTGAAACCAAAGCGCTGATGTTAAAACTGACAAGAGTTGATGAAATCTAAACATCAGTCACTAGTAGAATGAGCGTAAAGGAACAAGCAAGACATTGATCACATTGTGCTGACAAAACAAAGACAAGCAACTGATCCCTTATCACAGAGGGCGACAAATGGGAGGTAAGCTTAGATATGGGAGGTAATCCTCAAGCCACACAAAAAAAAAAAAAAAAAAAAAAAACAGCAACCAAAAAAACGACCTCTTAGTTGGCCCGTAATGCAGTAAAATCCCCTTAGAGAGAGCATCTGATGGTTTCGATGACGTAATTAATGTAAGTGTGGCTTGTCCGCTTTGCGATGCAGGGCCCCCCCCCCCTCTAATAAACTAGCTCGTTGAAAACGTGGCTATCAACACTATATCATGATGTGGCATACAAAAATAAAGCAATGCACACCAGACACGGTCTATTTCAAACAAGTGGGTGATGCTAATTAATAATGTATAGATTCTACACTATTGCACTCTAGACTAGGTCTAGCATTAAAAACTCCTTCGATAGATCACACACACAAAAAAAAAAAGATAAGTTCTATTGACCAACATAAATAAAGATTACTTCAATTCTACCAGGAAGAACTGTGTTCACTTGAAGTAATGGTCACTTGCGGTCTGTACACAAGCAGTATAACAAATTATATAAACCAAAACCAGTGAGATAGAGCCTTTGGGAGTGGGGCGAGAAACTATTCTTGAAAGCTTGCCTACTCTACCAACAGGTCTGGTCAACTCACTACCCCCCAAAGACATATCTTCTCAAAGATAATCTTCTCACATAGAAACCCAGCAGTTCAGACTAGATCTTTGACCCTGGTCAATGGTACAGCTGAACAAACAAAGAAACAAACGGTATGACCAAAAGCCATTAGATTGACTTAAGAGACTTTTAAAGCATAGCTTACCAACACTGCAGTCCCAGGAGAGCAAAATAATCTTATCTTATAAACACATTCATCTTTCAATACACATGTACTTCAATTAGTTGACACAAGTTACTTGTCAATGAATAATCACTTTCCCTAAGTAATGTCAGTATCTCTTCAAAAAAGGTGGGTTTAGACAAAGTCTACATGATCAGCACTTTCCCTAAGTAATGTCAGTATCTCTTCAAAACAGGTGGGTTTAGACAAAATCTACATGATCACCACTTTCCCTAAGTAATGTCAGTATCTCTTCAAAAAAGGTGGGTTTAGACAAAGTCTACATGATCAGCACTTTCCCTAAGTAATGTCAGTATCTCTTCAAAACAGGTGGGTTTAGACAAAGTCTACATGATCACCACTTTCCCTAAGTAATGTCAGTATCTCTTCAAAACAGGTGGGTTTAGACAAAGTCTACATGATCACCACTTTCCCTAAGTAATGTCAGTATCTCTTCAAAACAGGTTCTCAATCTTTTATGCTCTGCGACCCTTTTAACAATCCCCCACTCTGCAGCGACCCCCTCCCCCGACACACAGATACAGCAATAGAAGAGTAGACAATAACAATCCATACTTTCGATGGTCTTAGACGACCCATGGCAAATCATCAATCGACCCCCAAGGGGGTCGCGACTCACAGGTTGAGAACCCCTGGTTTAGACAAAGTCTACAAATCCTGAGTTGAAATAAGAAGTCATGCTCTAACAACAAAAAGATTCGAACCAGAGACAATCAATTTTGAATCAACCATTGTTCTGCTGAACCTCATTTCAAGGCAAAGGGGAGTACAAAATGGTCTGCTGTGAGATCCCACAATGAACCATATCAACTGTCATACTCATTTCAGTAATTTGTTAATATGTAAACCCTAACCTTGGGGAGAATGGACTAGAGTAGCAGGGACTTCAACACTAATAAATATGTTTATTTCAAGACAAGTATTAAATAAATACAGAATGACTCTACCAAACAAAATGTCATACGAAGTGTAAGACTGATATATAAAGGTCAACAGATTAAGCTCATACCAAGTGTATAGTTCACTATTACCATTCTATAGGTCAATACATATGGCCAAAGTAGAAATGAAAACAATAATAAATAAATCAAATCTAAGCAACAAGACCCAAGATGTGTATCATTCATGAATTGTGTTTCCCAAAAGTCCAATTGTCCACAAGAGCATTCTGAAATTTGGGGGTAAGTGGGTGTGAGTAAAACTAATTAGAAACAAAACAATTCTAAGAATTAAAGGATTGAAAATATTGAAGATCCTGGGCAATAAATACAGATGTGAAAATGGCTTAATTTTATGGACAAATACAAGCAGACCATTAATATTGAGATGCACACAATCACATGTTCTGTTCTTCAGCTGCAAAACTGATTGCATTCAAACAAATAAACTCCACTACAACTGGATATATAACCCAACAAAAGAATAACACTTCAAAATAGGAGTTTCTGAAATGGATTGGTCTGGCAGACTTTTAGGTAAGCCATGATGAGGTAAAACAGCTAGGTGACAAGTTGGTCAGGATAATGTACAAACTAGAATCAAGAAGGCATTATTAATGAATGATATTAACACTTTGTATTCAAAGTCTACAAAATGATCTCTGAATGGTTACATGTTTCCATTTCCTTTCCTCCAGCATGCCTGAGTAACTCTCAAAAGCTGGGAAAAAAAAATGTTTTAAAGATGGGGCGCATTCTAAGCAGCCCAAAGAATATTGGTGCACAAAAAGGACACACAGAGAGCTTTCATGTGTTGGACTCTAATCAGGCCTGAGCAAGCTAGATAGCCAATAGCCCTGTTTGTTCCTACTTTGAATAGTTCTGCTAACAACCAAATCATGTTTTTTTTTGTGCTTGTCCCAGACTAGCATATTTAAAAGTCAGGTAAAAGTCATTTGCCGTTGACTTGTAGGGAACATATAAGCACAGAGTTTTTATTCAGGGCATTTAAAAGAGAGGATTTGAACCTTTCTAGATCTCGCTAATTTTATGATTTATCCTTGACATTAAGTTAGACCAAGCTGCACCATTTTCTTTAAC